ACTTCTAAGGTCAGAAATTTTCTACGCAATTCAATATATTGTAATGGTACTATTAGTCTTTGTAATAATCTGCAATACCTCAATTCGGGCTCATTTGGTTATTAGTATATATGACAAGCTACAGGGAACCCAAAACTCACACTGTGCAAGTTTGTATCAGATGAGTGTCTTCAGAAATAAAAAATCCTTTCCGATTTTTTTAAAAGGAAAATCCAGCTGGAAGATATATGGTATAATGATGTTGGAATTATGAAGATATCAAACAATTGAATTACTTTCCATGTATCTAAGAAACATTAAATTATATTCCACAGAAGTCGTATTCTTGAACTTCTAACATAGTTTGAATGGCTTTAACTCGAGGTCGCTCAAACGGCATAGATTATATTCCAGTGAACCATAGCGTTCGTCGTTTTTTTGCCTTTTAAAATTTCAGAAATGATTTTTAATTTCTAAGGTTACTATTATGTTACAAACTTACTCAGGTTGACTTCTAAATATTTTGTTCATATATTTCACCCATTATTCGTATATAATAAATCCGAATTAAAGTTTTGCATATTAATACAAAAATTAATTGTACAATTTAAATATATTTAAATGCGTAGAACATTTCTAACCTTAAAATTTTAAGTCTTGATAAGAATAAGTTATCTTATACTTATATAAGTATAAGTTATCTTCTTTGAATATGAATATAATTTTTTTATTCACAAACTTACCTTTAACAATTTTATCCGTTTATCAAAGATTTCATTTAAATCTTAAAATAATATAATAAAATTTATTTTACGCAAAAATCAACTATAAACAAATACTGTAATTTTAAATTTATTTAGTATGTAACGACCAGTTTTGCTCGTCCTTTTGCTGGGGTGAACTCACCGGTTTGTCCGTTTGTTTGTTTGCTATGACATGTGTGAAATATATTTAGTATACATTAAGTCATTGAACAGACAACATCATATTTTTTCATCGTGTTAAAAATGTCGAATTTTGTACCAGAAAGTGATGATT